GAGTGTTTAATCGGCGTCTTGCATTGTATGCTTCCTGGGAAGCCGAGATAGATGGAAGTTTGACCCGTGTCAAAGGTTGGGGGTGGCTGACGATTGGGAGGTGGCTGCGGGTTGACGAAAGGGAAAAGCGCGGCGGTGCCACTGACTGAAGCGTCTTTAGGCAATTCCCAAAGGGGGGACATTACCATGTTCTGTTGCACAGTAGAATGGTAAATGGGCTGATTCATAAATGTCATGCTCATAACTTTTCTGGAATTGCAATAGGGGAAACTGCTGCTTTTTTCCCTCATCCTTACTATCGTCATTTTTCCTCTACTTCTTTTGTATGTTTGCCACACTCTTGTGACCCGCTATTTCAGGGGTGCCTTGATTGTCGAAGCAGACTTTGTGCTGTTGAAGCTAGAGAGGTGAGCAGAGTAAGCCCGAGTAAGGACTTCTCTGTTGACATCCACCCCTTGGCGCTCATATGACCTTATGTAGTTGAGAGCGCCGTACAAACGTTACTAAAACTTTTTTTAAAACTCTTAGAAAAACAGCTAGATAAATGAAAAGTTTCTGTTGTCTCTGTGTCCCCCCAGCCGCGTGTCTCCTGGTGCTGAATGAAGTCTTTGTCAAGACGGTGGAGCATGAGAAGGAGAATATGCCGGGCCGGATCCCGCTACAGGTGAGTCGTGCAGACCGACCTACCCACCTACTACACCAGGGACTGGGACTTTGTAAAGGACTGGGATTTGTAAAGGACTGGGATTTGTAAAGGACTGGGATTTGTAAAGGACTGGGATTTGTAAAGGACTGGGATTTGTAAAGGACTGGGATTTGTAAAGGACTGGGATTTGTAAAGGGCTGGGACTTTTGAAAAGACTGGGGTTTTTGAAAGGACTGTGATTTGTAAAGGACTGGGACGTTTAGAAGGACTGGGATTTTTTTTTACTAGTTTGCAGTTTGATTTATCGGCGGCCTGCTGTCTCAGATCATGTACCAACCCCGAAATTTTGAAAAATTGTTTTTTTGCAGCTTCTTAATATGTGGTGTTGGTTGCAATAATTTCTTTGGAATAATATTGGTCAAATCACAATACATGTTGAAAAAAGCAAAAAAGCAAGACAATATAATTTTTAAGATACGGGTGAGTGCAAAGAATTTTAACAATGTTTTTTCCTGAAAAAAATTGCTGTTAGGGCTTAAGACATTTCAGTCACCTTGCCGAAGTTGTAAACGCCTTTCATTGAAACAATATTTGTGCACCGCATACTATGGGACTAGGCTTCTGTCCAATGTCATCAGATCTGAACTAACCTCGTCTTTTCTCATTTCATGTCATCCATTCTCATCCGACTCGCCATCTCGTCCTATCTCCATTATTTTATCTCTTCTTCTCACCTCATCTCATCACCTACTTTCTGCATATGTGAGGCAGCGTGGTAGAATCAGGCTCTCGTCAGTTTTTGGGCATGTAGAGTTATTTGTGTCATCTTAAAACTTGCTCCCTTGTCTTTATTTGGATGAAAAAAATATCCATTTATCTTGAATACTAGTCGAGATATTTGCGACAGAAGGAGGTGGGGGTCACTTGTTTTCAGAGGTGAAATTAGTGAGAAAGTGGCCGCCAAATATTAGTTATTTCCTTAGCTTAAAAGTCCGTGGTAACTGAAAAATTACATTTTTTGTGCCTTTAATCAACGTTTTTTTCAGAAAAATCCGCGCAGAAATGAGTTCTTTAATGGGTATGAAAGGTGTTCAGCCAAAAAACGAAAATTCGATAAAAATTCAGAAACATGCGGAAAAATGCAAGTTTTTTCACTTTGATTATTTTGACGAGAGCCTGATTCCACCACGCTGCCTGACATATATTATTTTTATACAAACACATATTAATATACATAATACTATGTTGTACGTACACACGTGTCCATTAATTTATAAAATGCGATATCTTTATTTATGAAAGTAATGCGCATTGAGCATTGTTTTTTTCAGAAAATGGAAATGCGCAGCATAAATATGCTATTAAATATTTATTATCTATTGACATTATCATTATTACTATTATTAGTTTTATTATTATTATTATTATTATTATTATTATTATTATTATTATTATTATTATTATTATTATTATTATTATTATTATTATTATTATTATTATTATTATTATTATTATTAGTTGTATTATTATTATTGTTATTGTTATTATTGTAGTTACTATCATTATCATTAGTAGTAGTAGTAGTAGTAGTAGTAGTAGTAGTAGTAGTAGAAGCAGTAGTAATAGTAGTAGTAGTAGTAGTAATAGTAGTAGTAGTAGTAGTAGTAGTAGTAGTAGTAGTAGTAGTAGTAGTAGTAGTAGTAGTAGTGGTAGTAGTAGTAGTATCATCATTATCATTATTCTCACCTCTCGTATCCCTCCCACCTACCACCCCCCCCCCCCACTTCCAACA